TCCTCCTCTCTCGCGCCACCACCACCTCCTCCTCCTCCTCCACCTCCTCCTCCTCCTCCTTTTCCTCCTCAGCCCCCTCTCTTCTCGCTCCACCACCTCCTCACCCTCCAACTCCTCCGCCTCCCCCTCCTCCTCTCGCTCTTCCTTTTCCTCGTCCGCATGTCTCCCTCTCCGTCTCTCGTTCTCTCTCTCTCTCTCGCTCTGTCCCTTCCGCCCCCCACCCGTCTCGTCTCCCACCCTCCCTCTCTCCCTCCCGGGAGTCTTCAACGCTTCCAGCGGTCGAGGGGGGGATGCACACGCCGGCACAGAGCCCCCCCCTGCTCTTTTCGATCTGCCCACCCCCCTTTTTACAGTTGAGACCCATTCCAAGAGACCCTCTTTGCCTCCAGGGTGCCCTGGGCTTCTTTGGTTTCGAGGGCGAGTCTATGGAAAGCGCGGCGTCCTGGCGCCATGAGGTTTCATGGTCGGGTCTCTTGTGGAAGGTTTCCACAATTGCATCATGAGGTGATGCTCGTGATCCCTCATCTGTTCCAGATCGGTGTCAACTTGTATTCCGCAACAGGCAAAGCAAAGCTGAGAGAGGGCAAGCAGCTCCCCGTGACTCTTTCAAGAATTGTGGATCATGGGCGTCCGGGCCCATAGGCCGACCAAGTCCGCGTAGAACTTGGACTGGAATTTCAATGCCGATGTCCTGGACGGAGTGAGGTGGCCGAACGGTGAATCATTGTCCCTGGGTGCTCGACTGAAGTGACGTTCCGCGGCGCAGAGTCTGCTTGTTGTTGTTGTTGTTGTTGTTGGTAGTGCTGGTGTTGTTATTGTTGTCGTTGTCGTTGTCGTTGTCGTTGTCGTTGTCATCGTTGTTGTTGTTGTTGTTGTTGTTGGTGTTGTTGTTGTTGTTGGTGTTGTTGTTGTTGTTGTTGTTGTCGGTGTTGTTGCTGCTGCTGTTGTTGTTGTTGGTGGTGGTGTTGTTGGTGGTGTTGGTGTTCGTGGTGGTGTTGTTGGTGTTGTTGTTGTCGATGTTGTCGTTGTTGTCGTTTTGTGTTGCTGCTGATGGTGCTGTTTGTGGTGGTGTTGTTGTTGGTGTTGGTGTTGGTGTTGTCGTTGGTGTTGTTGTTAGTTGGTTATGTTGATTGTGTTGCTGATGTTGTTGTTGGTGTCGTTGTCGTTGTCGCTGTCGTTGTTGTTGGTGTTGTTGGTGTTGGTGTTGTTGCTGTTGTTAGTTTATGGTGTTGTTTGTTGCTTACGGTGTTTTGTTGCCGATGGACTACTCACCATGTTTCATAGTACGATCATCTATTTGCGACCTGGCATTCCCGCCTCGGCGCCAGCTGCAGTGCCGCTGGAATTGAGGCTCACGCTCAAGCGTTTCGGGAGTGCGCCCAAACCGACCCCCAACACCTACAACGCTCCCCTGCGATAGTTCTCAACAATTTACTCCGAGAGGCCCTGGCCAGAGAGGGCCAAACCTCAGAAAGGGTGCTCTTGCCCGAGACTCCCACGCAATCCAGGACCACAGGGGGGTCGTTGAGAGCAGTCTTGCCGCTGCTTCCGGATGCCAGAGCGGCCGTTTCGCATGCCGGAACGGCCTTATCGCTTTAGATGTCTTCGCAGTTCGGCAAGGGAGATCCTTCAGAGCATTCTTGTTGCTACTCGCGGATGCCCGATCGACCGTGTCGCCTGAGACTTCCTCGTAATTCAGCAGCACGGGGGAATCCGTCAGAACAGTCTTGCCGCTATTATTTGCGGAGGCCCTAGGAGGCCCCAGGACGCTCTAGGGACACGTGTTTGGGTGGCTCTTTCCGTCCCTCCGTCCCCCAGGAGGTCCCAGGACGCATTTTCTGTATTGGGATTTGTGCTAGAGGAGCGCTCTTCTGCCCCTCCGCTCCCAGGAGGCCCCAGGAGATATTTTTCTGTATTCGGGTATGTGTTCGGGGAGTGCTTTTCGGCACCACCGCCTCCAGGAGGCCGCAAGAGCCCCCACGAGGCATTTGTCTATACTGGTGTGTGTGTGTGTGTTGGGGGGTGCTGTTCCACCCCCGGCAGGGGTCGCCCCCAGATGCTTCGCCCCCGTCGAATTTGCCGCCCCTCTCCTGGGGATCGAATCCTGTATGGCTTACGTTTGTTCCTACAGAGTGCTCCTCTCTTGGGGCTCGAGTCCTTCGTGTCTTATATTTGTTCCTATTGACTGCCCCTCAACAGGGGCTCGAACCCTTTCAGTGTTTGGTTCATTGTCTTATAAGTTGCCCCTCGACCAGGGCTCGAATCCGGAGTGTTTCGCCTACGTTCCTATGGATTGACCTGTTCATGGGGCTCGAACCCTTCGTAGTTCGAATCCGAACTGCTCCCAAGAGTCGCACTGATTCTTATGTGTCCTGCGAGCTGGAAGGAGGAAAGCGCCTCGGGAGAGGTGCTCCCTAGACCTCCTTGTGCGGGATATCCGAGTGCGGGAATGCCGTCACATTGCCATGCAGTTCCCCCCAAGAGGGGGTGGCACCATGATGGATGCATGTGGCATGTAGAAGCATGACGCATGAGGGCAAACATATTCTCACAAGGGGGAGTCTTGTGTTTCAGATTGTGTTGTTGGCCCCCAGTTTACCACAACAGCGGTGTCCGCTTCATCTTTCTCCTCTTACGAATTAATCGAACAAAGCATTCTCGCGCGGGACTTCCTCACAAGTTGTCTTGGAATCTCACTCTCGCGTGGAACTTCCTTGCAATTTATTGAAAGGCCGCGCCGCCAACACTCAGGAGTCACGCGGTCGCTTTGGACTTGTTCATGACTTACGTGGGACTCGCGCTATCTCTCGAGATTTCCTCGCGACTAATGCAGGACTGACGCTTCAGCGACCTGCCCGCCCGACCCGGCCGTCTGGGCACGCCCGACCCGCCCGTCCATTTTTGCCGTTTGTGTTCCTGTTCTTATCCGCCCTCCTCATCTTTGTCGTGCTCCACCCTTACCTCTCCCCCTTGTCCCTTCCGTCCTCCCTTCCCCTGCTTTGCAGGGCTGCGCCAACCACACGTGGCAGGTAAGGAAGGTAAACCTTCAACGTGGTATGATCGAAGACGAAGAAGCGGGTATCCAGGGTTTGAGATATGCATGCAGAGTGACACGCGAACACATGAGACCGACCAGACTTAACATGATCCCGCGACGAAATGCAGAGGCGACCAGTAACATGTGTCCTCTGTTGCCCCCTCTTCGTCCTCCTCCTCCTTTTCCTGCTCCTCCGCCTCAACATGTTCCTGCTCCTCCCGCTCCTCCGCCTCAAGATGTTCTCCACCCTCCTCCTCCTCCTCCTCCTTCTCCTTCTCCTTCTCTTCGCCCTTAACCGCAGGGTATTTCTTCCTCGCCTGCTCCAGTAGGCTCCCAAAGGGGGCGAAGGCATGGGCAAACCTCGATCCTCCTCCTCCTCCTCCTCCTCCTCCTCCTCCTCCTCCTCCTCCTCCCTCTCCTGCTCCTCCTCCTCCTCCTCCACGTCCTCCCCCTCCTCCTCCTCCTCCTCCTTCTCCTCCTTCTCCTTCTCCTTTTTGTCCTCCTCGTCCTCCTCCTTCTCCTCCTTTTGCCGCCACGAATTCAAACAGCGGCGTCTGCGAACTGGTCGCTCCGTCCAACGAGGCAGGCGCGCCCAGCGCCCTGCCTCCCCCGCCTTCTCGGGCCGGGCACGCGCTCTCTACATGGTCGTCTCCTCCTCCTCCCCCCCTCTCTCCTCCTCCTCCTCCTCCTCCCCTCCTCCTCCTCCTCCTCCTCCTCCTCCTCCTCCTCCTCCTCCTCCTCCTCCTCCTCCTCCTCCTCCTCCTCCTCCTCCTCCTCCTCCTCCTCCTCCTCCTCTCCTCCTCCTCATCATCATTCCTTCTCCTCCTCCTCCATTCCTGAATGCATAACCTCTCCCTGTCGCACCCCGAGGCTGATCGAATTTGCGGGCCGGGCGTTTCGCTTGAGACGTCCTCACCATCTGTGGCCCTGAAACCTAAACATTGGCAACCTGTTTGCATATGGAGGGCGGGTCGTTTTCAAACTGTGGCTCTCGCCTTAGCGCCGCGCATATGCGTTCTAAATATTTGCAAAGGCTTCACGGATTGAGGGCGGGTGGTGTTCAACATTTGATTTTTGCCTAGCGCTTCGAACAGACATGTTTCATGAACAATGCATGGGTGTTGCCGATTGAGGGCGGCTCGTTTTCAAGTTGTTGTTCTCACCTTAGCGCCGCGCACACTCGCTTTATAGATGTGCAAGAGGTTCACGGAGTGACGGCGGCTCGTTTAGAAAATGTTGTTCTCGCCTTAGCGCCGCGCGAATTCGCACTATACATTTGCAAGACCTTCAGGGCTTGAGGGCGGCTCGTTTTCAAAATGTGGCTCTCGCTTAGGCTCCGCGCGCATGTTTTATTGCAGGAGTTTTACGGGTTCCCATGGCCATCGTACCAGGTATGGCGGTTTGGAAAGACTCAGGATTTTGAGGACGTAACAGTTACGTTGATTCGCGGTGTGGGAGCCCCAGAAGTGGCGTTCTGGCGCGACTCCGGATTCTCAAGACGCAACAGTTAGGTTGACCCATGGCGTTGGAGTCTCGAGAATAATGTATTGACATGCTAAGGAGAGGGACATTGGAGGGAGGGTTTATGCCAACATCGTTGATGACTTCTGGGTTCACACTGGTCCTCCTCCTCCTCCGTCCCCTCCTCCTTCTCCTCCTCCTCCTCCGCCTCCCCCTCCTCCCCCTCCTCCTCCTCCTCCTCCTCCTCCTGCTCCTGCCTCCTCCTCCTCCTCCTCCTCCTCCTCCTCCCCTCCTCCCTCCTCCTCCTCCTCCTCCTCCTCCTCCTCCTCCTCCTCCTCCTCCTCCTCCTCCTCCTCCTCCTCCTCCTCCTCCTCCTCCTCTCCTCCTCCTCCTCCTCCTCCCCCTCCTCCTCCCTCCTCCCCCTCCTCTCCTCGCCCCCGCTGGCCCCCGCCCGCGGCCCGCGGTGCCTCAGCCCGGGGTTCGCCCACGCCCGCGCATCGAGGAACATCCTCAGCGTGCTGCGCACGAGCGGCGAGATCAAGCGGTCGGAGCCGGCGAGCGCGGACGAGGAGGAGACCCCCCCCCTCGCTCAGAGGAGGACGAGGTACCCGTGCCTCTACCCTTTGCCCGCTTCCTCTTTTTTGGGGGGCCTCCTGGGAGAGGCCCTCGTCGCCGTCGCTGGATTGGCCTCGAAATTCTGGTCAGAACGCGCCCCGGGTGAGGTCCGGGGAGCAGCGGTGTGGGTTCCCTTTGGTTAATTACCCTTTCTCATGCGGCGAACATGTCCACATCCACGCCCTCGCGGTCTGGCTTCCGGGGCGCGATCCCTCGGACACGCGGTCGCACGGGTGTGTTTTGCGCGGGGCATCCGCGGGAAAACGCCCCACATCCGTGAGGTCGCGGGTCAGGGGCCTCGCCCGCGAGGCCGAAGACAGGATTCGTTTTTGCCGATGGCCCCCAAGAAGATCGGGAAGGGGGGGCGGGGGTGTGGGAGAAAATTGGGGGAACGAGGCATCCTCAGCGTGTCGCGCGCGAGCGGTGCGATCAGGCTGTCGGAGCCAGCGAGCGCGGACGAGAAGGACAGGCCCCCCCCAGCCCTGAGATGCTGGCGTTTCATTTTTCTTGTCGCATGATTTCTGGCCCCTGGGCCCGCGCAGATCGGTCAGGCCTGAAAGCTGCCGCGGACAAACTGGGTCTAGAGATCCAGTCGCGATGTTTCGCGATGTGGCAGTTTGTTCACAACGTCGGGCTTCAGGGGGTGAACAACGAGACGGAGAGGCCGGGGAAGAGAAAGAGGATCAACGAGGAGGGCGGGGAGGAGGGGGGGGCAGGAGTTGGACGAGAGAGGAGGAGGAGTCGCGATATAACATGTGTCTGGTCTCTTTCTGTACATCTGGCGCTTGATACACAGCTTTAATTAGCATGGATCAAATCACCTCTGTGCCAGATTGTATGATGACACTATTATTGCATTAGCTCTCTCTCTCTCTCTCTCTCTCTCTCCCTTTGTTTTGTTCTCTCTCTCTCTCTCGCTTTCTCTATTTGTTTGCTCTCTCTTTCTCTCTCTCTCTCTCTCTCTCTCCCTCTCTCCCTCCCTCCCTCCCTCCCTCCCTCCCCCTTTTTTGTTCTCTCTCTCTCTCTCTTCCCTCTTGTTTGTACTTACATACGGGTGTTTGTTTGTGCGTATGTGTCTGTCTGCCTGGATGTTTTTTTTTTTTCTCTCTCTCTCTCTCTCTCTATCTCTCTCATTCTCCGCCGAGATGCTGTTCATGCGTACCGTGCGCGATATGAACCTCTCCAAGCTTGTGGCGGACGACGTGCCGTTGTTCCTGGCGCTGCTCAAAGACCTCTTCCCGAAGGTAACCGACCCGCCGAAGAAGGTATACGCGAACATTGAATCAGGCGGCGATTTGGTGGAGTAGCATTGCAACGTTCTTGCTTGCTTTTTTTTGTCCTTTTCTTCTCCATGCGAGCATCCTGTGCCGTGGTACCGTTCAGGATGCTTGAGTCTCGTGGCACGTCGTGCTCATAAACATGATATCAACGCATATCCTTGCTGCATTGCATTGCTTCCGCAGGTGCCCCTCCAAAACACATAACTAAGGGTTGCGTGGTGCTGCGGGCTTGTCAAACTCGGCCCCCGCAGCCGCACCCGTCGCCTGCCACTTGACCGCCGACTGTGTCGCGGGCGCAATTCTGCCACGCGAGAGTCCGAGGTGATCTCGTGACAGGCTTGGGACCACTACGTTCAAGGCGGGCTTGTCCCTCTACAGGAGGAGTATCCAAAAGTTGTCCATCAATAGTCTGGGGGCGATGCTTTTATGTCTGCTGTTGTATATTTTGGCGTGTTTGTTATATTAGTATGCTTTTCAAACAAAAGCCGAAAAAACAAACAAACAAATAAGACACGTCCAACATCCTCCCTGTCGGGGAACCGGCCCGACCGCACACTACGGCTCACTTGGTCGGGGCTGTGCTCGGATCCGTCGGCCGCTCCTCCTATCGAAGGACAGACGGTGTGAACATGCTTTCTCGGAGGTTTGCACGGACTTCTTGGATCTGCGCCGGCCTCCGTTGGCAGCGGCTTCGGCGCCCCCCCCCGCGCGCCCCGCGCGCCACGGATCGGGGCCCACCGCAGATCCAAGAAGTCCGTGCGGGCCTTCAAGAAATTATGTTGGTGACGTCTTGTGTGCCCCTACAGTCAACCCGCATAGTCAGGATGGGCAACCTTCCCAAGGATACACTTTCTTCCTGCACTCCTCGGTCCATCCTTGGGCACTTTCGTTGGCCGCGCCCCGCTCGAGGAGCTTCGAAGTGGGCGCCCAGGGCCCTTACATCCTGACCGCGCATTCTTACTCTGCGGGTTGACTGTGTCCCTGCCGTCTTCAGACCCCGCCCTCCTTAGAGGTTCGATCGTGGATCTCTTGTTGAACGCAACCGTCCGGCTCTCGCGCCGAAGACTGCCAGAAGCTTCCCAAAAGATTGCTGGACGCCGCCGGGGTCCGACCCCACCGAGGACCGCCGCAGGCCGCCCGAAGATCGCCGAGGGCCGCCCAGAAGCGATGGGCCACAAGGGGCTCGTGGTCGATCGCGCAGCCGCCCCCCGAGTTCCTTCCTCCTCCTCCTCCTCCTCCTCCTCCTCCTCCCCCTCCTCCTCCTCCTCCCCCTCCTCCTCCTCCCCCTCCTCCCTCCTCCTCCTCCTCCTCCTCCTCCTCCTCCTCCTCCTCCTCCTCCTCCTCCTCCTCCTCCTCCTCCTCCTCCCCCTCCACCTCCAGGGGCCCCGTGGACCTCCACAGGAGCCCCCGGGGGCCACCCCCCCGTGCTCCCCCCCGGTTTTCTGCCAGCCGGTCGGCACCGGCAAATCGCACAAGAAGGATAGGCATCGTCCCAAGGCCACCCCTGCAGCCTTGCCTCTTCGGCCGCCATCCTTGGCGACTTTCGCCGGCCAGCCCCTTTTGAAAACCCCAGCCTTAAGTCGGGCATGTCCCTCTACAGGAGGAACATTCAAACATAGTTAAAAATAGTATAGGGGACGACTTCGTCTCCTGTTTTTGATCTTTTGCGGGGTACTTCTCAACTACTTGTCATTTGTCGTCCACAATCCCCCTGCAGGGGGACGTGCCCGACCCAACGCCAGCGTGGCCCTCCGAGGCCCGTGCCTCCCTGCCGTGCCTCCTGCATTCTGCGCCTCGACTGCAGCTCAGAGATGGGCTGCCGAGGGGCGGGTGCCGTCTGCGGCAGGCCAGCACGGAAGCTGGCTGCGACGGGGCCCGTCTTACCCGCCTGGAACATCTCCCTATCCCCAAGCTGGGCATCGCCTCAACACAATGCCGATCTTAGGGACTCCCCTAGTTTCTCAGAGCGCATCCCTAAGATTGTCATAGGCTGGGCATCGCCTCAACACAATGCCGATCTTAGGGACTCCCCTCGTTTCTCAGGGCGCATCCCTAAGATTGTCATAAGCTGGGCATCGCCTCGACACAATGCCGATCTCAGGGACTCCCCTCGTTTTCCAGGGCGCACCCCTGAGACTGTCATCGCCTCTTGGCGTGCCGATCTTCGGGACAGGGATACGTTCGAGGCCGGCGACCGCCGCTCCCAACGCAGCGCGGCGGGGCCCGCCGCTGCACCGCGGCCTCGCCGGCCACGCCCACGGCCGTGCACGCGCCGGTGCCCGCGCCGGCCGCGCCGAGGGCGATGCGCTGCCTCCGCGCGCGGGGGGCCCAGCTCGGGCGTCCGCGGGGCCGCGCCGGGCGCCTCGGTCTGCGCCCCCGGTCGGCCGTGCGCGGCGCTGCAGGGGGGCTGGGGGCGAGCGTCGCGGCTCGCCTATGGCCGCGCTGTGAAGGCTGTTCTCTGAGAACCTTTTTGTGGTTCCCACGACCTGTTCTCAGAGCATGTCTGGCTGGGGCCGTCTTGCTTCAACGCATCGGGTTTCTGTTCTGAGAGCGTGGCTTTTGTTCTTGGAGCTTTTTTTTGGTTCCACGGGACCCTCTGTGGTTCCCACGAAGTGTTCTTAGAGCATGTCTGGCTGGGGCTGTCTTGTTTTAACACATCGGTTGTCTGCTCTGAGAACATGGCTGTTGTTCTTGGCACATGTTTGGCTTCTCGGAGCACTTCGTGGTAAGACTACAGGGATGCCGGGACGGTCGGTCCCTGCTCGAGATACGGTGCTTCGAACACGTGACGTTGGCGCGCTGGCGACACTGGCGAAGGCGTTCAAGATCGAGTTCGGCATGGCAGCTTGCCAGTGGGGGGGGCACAGGTCCCGAGGTTTTGCGTGGGTTGCCGGGCTCCCGGGGCCCCACGCGGGCCCCTGGGCTGTCCGAAAACGACTCTGGACGCAAAGCGCGCCATGGGGGAAGGCCCCTGGTCCAGGACCCTTTGTGGGCCCTGGAAACGACAGGGCCGTTTTTGTTGCCGGTTCCGACGCCGTCTTTTTACCGGTTCCGTCGCCGTTCTTCTACGGGCTCCCGCTCCGGCTCCAATCCTGGAGCCGTGTTTGTTGCTGTTTCCGCTCGCTGTTTTTTTTGCCGGTTCCATGTTCAAGGGACCCTTTTCGGAAACGGCGAAAAAACGGCCCTGCCGTTTCTGGGGCCCACTAAGTCCAGGACCCTTGTTCTCTCAAGACCCGCTTCCCCCATGCGGAAACTTTGAATTCGGAATGCTAGAGCGACGCGGAAGCACAGAGGGACGCAGCAACGCCGCAACACCCGGCGGAATTCGATATTCAAGATCGGGGCCGCGATCGATTCAAGGTTGATCGATCGACGCGGTGTCGGAAACCTTTTCGCGCGCCGACGCCGCATGAACCTACCGTACATCGCTCCAGATCGTGCAGGAATGCTTTCAGAGCGTCCGGGAACGCTTGGAGAACGCCGCGGCGACAGAGGCATCCTTCAGAATTTGCGGATCTTCGAGGTCCCCGATCTGTCCTCGTTCGATATTGTCCCTGTCTTTCCTGGTTTCGTCTTACCTCGTTGCGCCGCCTGGGTGTTGTATCGAAGGGCTTCGGTGGACGTGGCGCACGCAGCGGAGGAGGAGCAGGAGCAGGAGGAGGAGGAGGAGGAGGAGGAGGAGGAGAAGAAGGGGGAGAGGAAGGGGGGGGAGGAGGAGGAGACGGAGGAGGAGCAGGAGGAGGAGGAGGAAAAGGGAGAGAGGGAGAAGGAGGAGGACGACCAGTGTCAACCCAATACTCATCAACGATGTCGCAACAAACCCTCCCTGAAGGTTCCTTCTTCTCAGGCTCCTGTAAGGATTTGTTCACTGCGAGCATGGCCCCGTTAGAAGACGACCGTCGAAGAGTGCTGAGCCGTGCCAAATCACTATTCCACCACTCCTGGGACTTCAACGCTGCGAATCAACGTGACTGTTGCGACCTGACGATCCTAAATCACGCCAGACCTCCTTGTTGATACGTCCACACCGCGAATCAACGCGACTGTCACGACCTGACGACCCTAAGCTTTGCGAAAACATAATGTGTTGGGACGTCGATGGTAAGAGCCCTTTGGACTGACTTAAGATGTTAAGGCGAATGCGCGTGGCGCCCTGGCGAGAGCCAATTCAAAAACAACAAACGCTCTCTATCTGTGAAGCTCTTGCAGCATTCTAAGACCAATGAACGCGGCGCTACGGCAAGAGGCACGGGTTGAAAACGGTCTTCCCTGCATCCGCGAAGCTCTCTCCAACTTGCAAGACGTATGTTCACAGCGCTCAGGCGTGAAGATCTTACACACTTTTCAGACGGATGTGCGCGGCGCTAAGGCGATATCCACAATCTGAAAACGGCCCGCCCTTCATCCGCGAAGCTTTTGCCAACTTACAACATGCATGTTCGCAGCGCTCAGGCGTGAAGCTCTTACAAACTGTTGAGACGAATGTGCGCGGCGCTGACGCGAGGGCCACACTTTGAAACCAGCCAGGCGAGTGCGCGCGGCGTTAAGGCGAGAGACGTATGTTGAAAGCCACCCGCACAAACGTTTAAGGCGAATGTATGCAAGGCTGAGGCGAGAGCCACATTTTGAACACCACCCGCCCTGCATCCGCGAAGCTCTTTCAAACATTGAAAGCGAATCCGCGCGGTGCTATGATGAACGCCACATGTTATAAATCACCCGCCCTCCATCCGTGAAACTGTGACACATCTCAACCTCGAGGTGAGAAACTCTCAGGCGAAACGCCCGGCTCGCCTTGCCAACCCGCCTCCGGGAGCGACAGGGAAGAGTTCTTTGCAAGGAAGGTGGATGGAGGAGGAGGAGGAGGAGGAGGAGGAGCAGGAGGAGCAGGAGGAGGAGGGGAGGGGAGGAGAAGGAGGAGCTGCAGGAGCAGGAGTGGGAGGGGGAGGGGGGAGCGGGGGGGAAGGAGGAGAAGCAGGAGGGGGAGGGGGAGGAGGTGAAGAAGAAAGTGGAGGGAGAGACGCGGAGAAGGAGGAGGAGGAAGAGGAGGAGGAGGAGGAGGAGGAGAGAAGGAGGAGGAAGAGGTGGGGGAGGAGGGGGAGGGGCAGGAGAAGGAGGAGGAGAGGAGGAAGGAGGAGGAGGAGGAGGAGGAGGAGGAGGAAGAGCAGGAGCAGGAGTGGGAGGGGAGGGGGAGGGGAGAAGGAGGAAGAGGGAAGGGAGGAGGAGGAGGAGGAGGAGCAGGAGGAGGAGGAGGAGGAGCAGAGCAGGAGCAGGAGCAGGAGCAGGATGTTGAGGAGGAGGAGGAGGAGGAGAGGAGGGGGAGGAGGAGGAGGAGGAGGAGGGGAGGGGGTGGGAGGAGGAGGAGGAGGAGGAGGAGGAGGAGGAGGAGGAGAGGAGGAGGAGGAGGAGGAGGGAGGAGGTAGGAGAGGAGCAGGAGAAGAGGAGGAGGAGAGGAGCAGGAGCAGGAGGTTGAGGAGGAGGAGGAGGAGGGAGGAGGAGAAGCAGGAGTAGGAGGTTGCGGGGGAGGATGATGATGATGATGAGGAGGAGAAGGAGGAGGAGCAGGAGCAGAGGAGCAGGAGCAGGAGCAGAAGGTTGAGGAAGAGGAGGAGGAGGAGGAGAAGCAGGAGCAGGAGGTTGCGGGGGAGGAGGAGGAGGAGGAGGAGGAGGAGGAGGAGGCGGAGGAGGAGGAGGCGGGGACGGGCAGGAGTCAGGGACCACCGAAGAGGAAGCGCCGGGCCGCGGCGCCCCCGCGGGCCTGGCGGTCTGCGCGGTCGGCCTTTGCCTGGGGCCGGCCCGGCCGGCGCCAGGCACGAAGAAGCTCATCAAGAGGAACTTGCTGGTGGAGTGGGAGAAGTGGCTGCTGAAGGTTTTTTGGGAGGGGGGCCGGGTGTTGCTAAGAAGTGCCCCTGACCCAGGGTGCCCCCAGGATGTTCCACGGAGGCCGCCACCAGACCAGCCTTCACACGAGGCCCAGAAGGCTCCAGGGCTCCAACATGGAGCGAAAGTCTGGGAGCACCCTGGGCCAGGGGCACCTTGAGTAACCCCCGAATGGCGAGGAAGGGTGAGGATTTTTGTTCTTCCCCAGGGTAACGCTCGTTACCGGGGCCCCCCCCCTCTTGCCCCCGGGTTCAGCTAACGATCGTATTGGGCGTATTGGGGGGGGTGCCTGGCCCCACCCACCCCCGGGTGCACGCTGCGACCACCGTTATTCTTGCCCTCCCGCCCGACCCCCGCCCCTCCCTTGCCCCTGGTAACGACCGTTATTTGGGAAATGAAAGACGGTCGCAAGGAACGGAAGATGGCTCGAACAGCTGACGAACAACAAGCTACATGTCTCGATTCAGTGCAGCGGCCAGGCCGCAATCCGGGCGAACAGTCTGCGGCTAGAAGTCTTCGCTGAACCAGCACATTAGCCTGGCGAAGGACTCAACCATATGCAGTTGTGAGCACCGTAATTGTATGCACCGCATTCGAAGGAGCTCCCTACAGGCCCACGAAACGTGTGAGGAGTGTGGCAAAATGGGCGCGCTGAGCGCATGCGAACGAAAACACTGGGGCCGTCGGTGGAGCTCCCTGTGGGGCCATGAAACGGACGAGGGGTGTGCCCAAATCAGTGCGGTGGGCGTATGCGAAAGCAGCCACTGGGGCCGTCGGTGGAGCTCCTCGAGGGGCAACGAAACGAGCGAGGGGTGTGCCAAAATAGCTGCGGCGGGCGCATGCGATCCCAGCCACGGGCCGTCGGTGGAGCTCCCTATTGTTTGGGCCACGAAGCGTGTGAGGGGTGTACCAAGATAGGTGCGGTGGGCGCATGCGAACGCTGGAATTTGGGCCTTCGGTGGGGCTCCCGATGGGGCCACGAAACGTGCGAGGGGTGTTCCGAAACCGAGTCACGCGGACGGCAGAGGCAAGAATGGGAGGAGGGAAGAGGGGGAGAAGAAGGAGAGGCGAGGAGAGGAGAGGAGAGGAGAGGAGAGGGACGCGGCGCGCTGTCTCTTCGAAGCGTGGCCCAACACCAGAGGATGACTGGGAAAAAGAAGCGACTGCTGAAGGCTGCTCGACACCGACATCCTCATCCTGGAGTCGCATTTTTCCACACCGGGCGTTCTCGCCCCGTCTCGTGCCCCAGGGCCACCACAGGCCGGTCCGGCTCGAAAAATGCAGCGAGAAGGTGAGGTTTTGGGATTTGGCGGTGGTTTGTCGTTATGTTGCGATATTTTCGCAACGTCGGATCTCAAAGAATCCTCGAGCTTGCCCTCAGGAGGGGAGGAGGTGCCGATCCTGCTATCCTTCCTTCGTCGCCACGGCTGGATTCGTCGCGAGATTCTGGTCAGGACGCACCCCTGTAGGGGTCCGGTGAGCAGTGTTAGGTCGGGCATGTCCTATAGGCGGAGCTTGGAAGGACAAACATAAAGTTGTCCAAACTCAGTCAAGCATAGTCCAAAAGTAGTCGTAACATAGTCCCCAAACAATGTATTTGTTTATTTTTGAATACATTCCTCCTGTAGAGCGACATGCCCGACTTAAGGGTAGTGGTATCGATATTAGCGGGTCGCTCGTGGCTCGAGTCAGCACGCGGCCGCTGGACGAAGACTCGGCCACTCTTCCATCTTATTGGGGAACCAGAAACACACAAAAAACAAAAACACGCCTAACAACAAAACAGACCATACAAGACAGACAACACAAACAATGAACACGCTACAACATAAACATATAACACAAAATGTTGGTGGGCGTTGTTTCGGGGGAGGAGGCGCGGTTATATCGGCCAGAGTCGGTGCCCCAGAGACTCGTGTTCCCCGCCTTCGCCTGCGGTGGAGACCCATGCCAAGCAGCACCCTGCTCGCCTCCAGGGTGCCCTAAGGTCTCTTAGGTGTTGCTGGTTTTGCGATGGACAGCGCGACGCTCCCACACCAAACATCGATGGATTTCCTCAGGTCTCAAGGTTGGGCTTCTTGTGGAAAGTTTCTTGTGGACTGGCCTCTTTTGCACCCGACCGCGGCCGACGTCCAACGTGTTGTGCCCCCCGCGCACATGTGCGATCAGCTTGAAGACGGCCCATCCCAGGGACGATGGTCCGTGCTTCTGCGACACGCGAGCGGAGCGAAGCCCTGGTGAGGATGAGGCCCGCCAGCCATGCGTGCTGAGGTCGGTAGCTCAGGGTCTTGCGGGTGCTTTCGTGTTCGGCGTCGCGCATACCAGTGTGGCGTGAGGGGGGGGCGACCTTCGAAGGGGGCAGGGAGCTTCTTTGATCTTTTCCCGACGGTGTTTAAGAAAGCAGGAGGGCGCATTGGAACGGGTCGGAGCCTTCTGAGAGGGCGGCTTAGAAGTCAGGACGATTTCTGGGAGGTCCTTTTGCTTTTGCCGTCTTAGCGAGCCGCCCCCCCGGCGAGCCGCCTAATGTGATTGCACATGCAGTTGGATTGCACAGGAGATCTACAGTCGGCGCGCATTGGCAGGTCATTCCTGCAAAATAAAGAGTTCTCGTGTGTCTTGTCCATCCCTTCTCATGTCCTCTGCGTGTTCGGACTATGTGTGCCCTTGTGTCCTATGGTCGTCAGAGGCCATGTTGCCGTCGGAAGAGTCTCGTGTCCTGTCGCGTGTCCTCTCGTGTGCGCTCCGACTGTACAGTTGTGCGGCAAGTCCCCCCACCGTGCCAGCGCAGCGCGCTGCGTGGCAACGCTTCGAGCAGGCCGTAGTCAACAGGAGTTGCTCGGGTGGTTGTTGACAGAGCTTCGCACCGGACGATATCGAGGGATCCGCTGCTGCTTCTGGCACATCAAGGACAATGTCGGAGGCCTAGAGGTTGACACCAACACCAATATCGGCGACGTGCCTCCATCGAGGGAAGATGATGCCGATCTTGGTGATGGTGGTAATATTCGGGCTTCCAAGGTGGCCGAAACTTTACCACCAACACCTAAATCTAGGATCATCTTCCCCTGGTGGAGGCAACCCTCGGTGTTGGTGTGGGTGCCAACTTCTAAGCCTCCAAGATGCTGTCCCTTCCTCCTGATCCTCGCCATCCTCCTTCCCACTGGCTCCGTTTGCTCCGTCCTGTTTCTTGATCCGCAGCTCCCATGTCGCGCCCCCAGACGTGTCGGCCGGGCGGGCCGGACGTTTCGTGTGTGGCCTCTTCAGTATTTGTGATCTTGAAGCTTGACATTTGAAACAGTGGCGCTGATGGAGGGGTGTCCTTTTCAAAAGTGAGGGTCAGAGTCAGTGCCGCGCACATTCGATGCACAAGTTCACAGCAATTCCAAACACATAGGACCCAGGTTGAAATCGAAATGGAGCTCCCGCTTGACAGCCGCGCACTTTTCCTTGAAACGTTAGCAGCACCTCTATAAGATGGAGCACAGGTCGATCTCAACATCGAGCTCTCGCACCAGCGCCGCGGACATCCGTCTCCCAAGTTAGCAGTATGTATACGGATGGGGGCACATGTCGTCTTCAAAATGAAGCTCTTGCCTCAGCGTTGCGCGAATCGCAGAAAGTCACAATGATGCAGTTTCGTTTTAGGATAACCACTTGAGACTTCCGCGAACGTCATGTGCAATAGTGTAAATCCGTAAGGGCTTCGCCCCCTGCCGCCGGCCCCCTCTCTCGGAGAATGGGCCATGGAAGAGCTAAGTCATGAGGCCTTGGCGCTGTCGTGAAGCAGTATCGAAACTTCATGCGAAGCCGAGTCGCAATCAGCAAAACCAACTGATCACAAGAGGGGTTACCACACCTGGCGATTGGTAAGACGTGTATGGTTTAAGGGCTTGGTTACCACACCTTGCGATGAAAGGGCCGAGGGAGTTCTCGCAGTTTGGGTTACCACGCCTTGCGATGGATGTGCGTGATGGGTTCGAATTTCAGAAATGTGGCAAATCCCCTGTGTTTTTGGACCCTGACCCCGCGGATCTGCGTAAGGGGTGGCGCCGAATTTCAGAAATGTGCAAATCCCTGTGTTTTTGGACCCTGACCCCGCGGATCTGCGTGAGGGGTGGCACCGAATTTCAGAAATGTGGCAAATCCCCTGTGTTTTTGGACCCTGACCCCGCGGATCTGCGTGAGGGGTGGCACCGAATTTCAGAAATGTGGCAAATCCCATGTGTTTTTGGACCCTGACCCCGCGGATCTGCGTGAGGGGTGGCACCGAATTTCAGAAATGTGGCAAATCCCATGTGTTTTTGGACCCTGACCCCGCGGATCTGCGTGAGGGGTGGCACCGAATTTCAGAAATGTGGCAAATCCCTGTGTTTTTGGACCCTGACCCCGCGGATCTGCGTGAGGGGTGGCACCGAATTTCAGAAATGTGGCAAATCCCATGTGTTTTTGGACCCTGACCCCGCGGATCTGCGTGAGGGGTGGCACCGAATTTCAGAAATGTGGCAAATCCCCTGTGTTTTTGGACCCTGACCCCGCGGATCTGCGTGAGGGGTGGCACCGAATTTCAGAAATGTGGCAAATCCCATGTGTTTTTGGACCCTGACCCCGCGGATCTGCGTGAGGGGTGTCGATTTCGAGCCCCCCCAGCAATTCAGACAACGCGCCCAGGGGACGCTGGAAAATCCTGTTTGGGCCTCCCCCCCCTCGCGCGGTCAATCAACTAGTTACAGTAACCAGCAATAACTCAACTAGTTACAGTATCCAGCAAGAAGCAGAACTGTAACACTGGAAACTACAACCTACGACTGGTACAGGAAACTGCGAATCACGCGCCTACAGCCTGGTGGCCCCACAAGGGGGCCGGCGGATTTACGCAGCAGTTACACCGTTTTCCGCCTGATCTTTTCAAATCGTTGGACACTTCTGCATGCCATTATCATACTTAGTCGCATTTCAGATGTAAGTGCTCGGATGATATGAGGCAGTTCCTTACCACAATGAGGATCTTGCCTGCGTGGTAGGCACATATGGCGCTGGTCTCACATAGGGCGCTGGTGTTGTAAAGGGGCCCCTTCTAGTGAAGAAGGTAGACTTAAGTAGGGACTTATCCAGAGGGAGGGGATTTGGGACGGGAGGATGTGTTGTAGCATCGCTGATTCACATTGGGTTTATTATGGTCCTTCTCATCCTCTTTCTCCTCCTCCTCTTCTCTTGGCTTTTCGCCTTCCCCTTGGGGCCGCACAGTGGGGCAGAGCGATCTGCCCACAATTCACGCGTTTCTGTCGGTCAGGCGCGAGGCCCCACTTTTTCTGCACTCGCCGGGCAGGTCACGCAGGTCATGTTACTCGGGTCGTGCTCTTCGCCTCGCCCTGATCTGAAGGAGACGCAGTCTTGATTATTGTATCGCTTCGCTCGCTCCGCGGGCAAACGGCTCACGGTCTCTAAGTGGTGGTGGTGGAATCAATGATTCTGACCAGTGTGCTCCCTCTTTGGAGTTCTCCTGGGGCGGCCACTTTCGATGTTGCTCTGTGATGGCATGACCGTGGCGAGAGGGGAAGAATGGGGAGGAGGAGGAGAGGAGAAGGAGACATCTCGATTGCTTCTTGGCGCACTCTTGGAGCATAACGGGGTCATGGACCAGACGCCTCTTCAGGAGGCTTCTTGGTGTATCTCGGGCGGCCTCTCGGAGCCCTCTTGGTGGAATGCTTGAGACCTCCTCCTCCTGCTTCTCCTCTCCCTTCCCCCTCTTCCCCCTTTTCCTCCTCCTCCTCCTCCTTTCCCCCCCTTCCTCCTCCTCCCTTTCCCCCTCTTCCTCCCCTTCCTCCTCTTTCTCCTCGTCTCCCTTTTCCCCCTCTTCCTCCTCCTCCTCCTCCTCATCCTCCTCCTTTTCAAGTCCTTCTTCGCAGGTTGTCAGTACCGAGCCCGTGGGGGCCGACTCAGGGGCCCAGCCTTCTGGACAGAATTGATGTCAATCGCGTCTGTTTATGCTTGCCGCGATCGTCCCCTCCCTCATGCCCCTCTTTCTTCTCCCGAAAACGCGCTAGAAAAGAAATGAGACCTCATGATGCCCCTCGGGGCAGACTTTTGGGCCTCGGAGGGCCTCTTGGGGGCATCTTGGGGGCCTGCATGCGGTCTCGGGGGCCGTCTTTGTTTGGGGCGGGGACCCCTTGAGCCATATTGGAAGGCCTCTTGGGCCGTCTTGGGGCCCTCTTGGGCCGTCCCTGTGGCCTTACTTCGGCGCACTCCACCCCCCTGTCGCTGCTTCGTGCTTCATTCCTGAAGCCCGCAGTGGACAGAGTGACGAGTGGATTGGCTGAAGCCCGCGGTGGAGGACAGAGCTTGAGTGTTTGTACGTAGGCAATCGCCCCTCGCAGCCGTCCTCGACAGGAGTCGCATCACCAGCCTGTTGTGTTGGGAGTCGGCCGAATTCAGGGAGCATCCTAGGCGTAAGTGGGGCGATCTTGAGAGCTTCTTGACGGCAACCTTCGTCAGCTTAGGGCCGTTTTGGGGCCATCTTCAATGCTTGTTGGGCTGTCTTGAGCCGACGGACTCCCGAAAAGGCAAATAGCAACATCGTGAAGCGCCTGTGTAACAAAGCCATGGATTCAATGTTTTTATGGGGCCATATCATGTGTCCTGTTGAAGCGCTCCTGGGGGCCTCTTGGGTTGCTTGACTTGGAGCGGTGTCGGGCCGTCTTGGGACCCTCAGAAGCCTTCTTGAGGCCGTCTTCGGCTATCTCGGAGCGCAATTGGACCGTCTTGGCACCCTCTCGTCTCCACGAGCGCCCTATGGAGCCCCGAAGGCCACGCCCAGCACAAAAACACATCTGCTCTGGTTCAGGATTTCTGGGGCCTTCTCATGGCATTGTTTTGTCCGGGGACCCCAAGAGATCGCTCCTCCTTTCCCCACGCGCGCGAACTGGAAGTATGTCTTAGCTCTCACCAGAAGTTTCTGCACGCTTCTGGCCTGTTGGGCCGGCGATTCGTTTCCAGCGTCTCGTGAGGGAAGAGATCTTGAGGTGTGTGTGTGTGTGTATGTGTGTGTTTGTGTGTGTCCGTGTGTGTGTGTGTGCGTGTGTGTGTGTTTGTACGTGTGTGTGTGTGTGTGCGTGTGTGTCCGTGTGTGTGTGTGTGTTTGTTTGCGTGTGTGCGTGTGCGTGTGTGTGTGTGTGTGTGTGTGTGTTTGTGTGCGTGTGTGCGTGTGTGCGCGTGCGTACGTGCATGTGTGTGTATGTGTGTGTGTGTGCGTGTGTGCGTGTGTGTGTGTGTGTGTGCGTGGGCGTGTGCGTGTGCGTGTGTGCGTGTGTGCGTGTGTCTGTGAGGGTGTCTGTGTGTCTGTGTGTGCGGCTCTGCTCGGCATCTCAGGGCCCTTCCCCGGGTGGGAACCGTCAACGGAAAGCCCGTGGACAATCGGTTTTTAATCTTCGGATTTGGGCAAAAGACAAGGCCGTGCTCCCCAGCGACGCGACGAGGTGGACCGAACGAGGGCCGGAGGTCCACGAGGACACAAAGCCCGACCGAGGGCCCGAGGGCCAAAAAGGGACACAAGGACACAAGGACGCAAAGCCCGAACGAGGGAGGACACAATCCGCAAGGACATGAAACCGCGACGAAGGTCACGGAACGAGGACCCGAGGTCCCGAAGCGAGCGATGCGATGTCCGCAAGGGCACGAGCGGAAGGGACCGACCGAGATGCAAGAGGGCCACGAAAGCCTCGCGGGCACTCCGCTGACAAAGTGGTTTGGGGGAAGAGCCCAGGGAGTCCAGTGCCCGTCTTCCTCGGGACCCACCTCGCTATCATTCCAAACTCGTCGGGGTGAGTCGGGCGGGGCCAGGACGAGGAGAAATCCGTTTCAGAAGGCTCTCGGAGCGTTCCAGAACGCTCCGAGAAGGCCGCGGCGCCCGAGACAGCCTCCAGAACCGACGGATCTCAGAGATTCTCGATCTGAGGCTTTCCAGCATTGGCCTTGCCTTCGGAGATCGAAGGAGTTGCCATCTCTTCCTCGGCGCAAGGCGTTGGAAGGTCGACAGAAGTAAAACGAGGCCGCCTCTGTCGGCGGAAGGCGGCGGAAGGTGGCGGAAGTAAAAAATGCGCTCCCAAGGGATGACAATTTTTTGGGGTTCAGGGTTTCCGGAATCCGCCGCCTATCCTCACCCGATTTTATCCTCGTCCTGGCCTCGTCTCAGTGAGGGGTTTCGTGGGTGCGGCGCCCCGCTTGTCGAGGCACCCTGTGTGGCGTGCTGGCTGGCTGGGGCGGCGAGAATAGCAAGCCTCGCTCGCCCAGCGAAGGGGGGGGGGAGGGGGCGGTAATTAGGGGGAAGATGGGAGGGTGCAGGGCAGGATGGGGGGGAGGAGGGGGGAAGAGCTTGTCTTAAGTCGGGCATGTCCCTCTACAGGAGGAACATCCCATGAACGTGACAACATCTGGGGGTGTTTTTATTTCGCGCCCTTTTGACTCTTTGTGAGTTTTGTTTCTTCCATGTGTTTATTGTTCTTCCAAGATCCGCCTGTCAGAGGACATGCCCGACCTAAGGGAAGAGCTTGTCCCCTTCACCGGTGGGGCCACGGAGGATCCGCCGATTCTGCATTGTGCAGGTTATCCAGCTCTACGAGACGTCGCTGGTGCGCCACGGCTTCATGCTGGTTGGCCCGACCCTCTGCGGGAAGACGGAGATTGCGTCCGTCCTGACGGACGCGTCCTTCGCCGCCTCCGCGTCTCCTCTCCTGAGACTTCTGCGCCCAGGGGCCCTGCTCGGGCCCCAAGACCACCAAACCTGGAGCCGCGGTGATGGATTGTTCCTGGAGGTGGGGTCTGTGCAGAAGGCACGGGCCCATGTTCGGCTCTGTCTGGTGAGGGAGGGATGGCATGGTGGTGGCAGCGACGTGGCCAGTGGTTCCACCAGGGGGCCCTCAGTGAAAATCCTTCGGCTATTCGGCCGTCCTCTGACCCCCTGGGCTGCATCGCAAAAGAACATTCCAGGGCGAGCGGAGAACCGAGGCATGCCGACGCAGTTCTGCACACTGCCGTTCCGTCCAGATCCCACGCGCACGCCCTCTTCCCCTAAGCAGTGTTGGTCTTACTCGGGCTCACAGGTCATCGGGCAGAAGCTCCAGGTCTTTCCCAGGAGGAGGAGGAGGAGGACGAGGAGGAGGAGGAGGAGGAGGCGGAGGAGGAAGAGGAGGAAGAGGAGGAAGAGGAGGGGGAGGGGGAGGAGGAGGAGGAGGAGGAGGAGGAGGGGAGGAGGAGGAGGAGGAGGGGAGGAGGAGGAGGAGGAGGAGGAGGAGGAGGAAGGAGGAGGAGGAGGAGGAGGAGGAGGAAGAGGAGGAGGAGGAGGAGGAGGAGGAGGAGGGCTGGGAGGTGCGTTTTTTTGCGACGCTGCCGCCCGTGGGTGGGCGCCTCGTGGCAGCACCCTGCGCTGGCTGGCGCCCCGCGGGCGCCGCGGGTTCCGGGCGTGGGCTCCGCCCCCGTCCGCGGGCGCGTCGCGGGCGCCTCGTGCGCTGGCTCATGCACCACATAGGCTCTGCACTACACAAAGATAGATAGATATATCGATATCTATATACATATATATACACCTACTTTTTATATTTGCATACAGATGTATAGATACATACATAATGTTCCACACAGCTTGCACAGCGTAGATTGCCGAACGTAGCTAGCACAAGCATGGCCTGCACCACAAACACTGCACCACACGGGCTGCACAACCACACATCCAGTGAGCAAGAATTGACCGCCTGGTTTCCACACTGGAAGACGTTTACGACGCAGTGCCTGCACGGGTTGTTACCTGTGGTCTCAAGTAACTGTGAGAGTCTGCCGAGGTTTTGCCTGGTGGGTGGCCGCGGGCGCCTCGTGGGCCCTCCCTTGCGCTGGCTGGGCTGCCAAGGTTCCGCCTGGTGGCCTGCCGTGAGCGCCTCGTGGGTGCCCCCGTGCGCTGGCCGGGTCTGCCGAGGGCTCACCTTTGTGGGCGTTCGCGGGTGCCGCGTGGGAGCTCCGTGCGCAGGCCGGGTCCGTCGAGGTCTCGCCTGGTGGGCGGCGCGTTCCCTGGCGATGTCTGCAGAGGGGTCGCCCGGTGGGCGGCCGTGGGCGCCTCGAGGGTTCCTCGTGCTGCTAGGACCACGTAGCCTGCATCACCCAGTCTGCACCACTTTGCTGACGCCGCACAGCTTACACCGCATACCCTCTTGCTGGCCCAGCGCTGAGGCTTCGGCGGTAGGCCTGCTCTGCTCTGCGCTAGGTAATTCGGCCCTCGCGCGGCCCGCTCGGACCTTACTCGCCGTCGGCGCGCTCGCCTGCGGCTGCTTACAAAAAACACCGCAGACCACATAGCCTATGCTATATAGCTTGCACTTCACATAGCTCGCACCACATTGCTAGCAGAATGCGCATGTTCTCCTGTCGAGAGAAGAAATGACTTCACCACCCTCCCGAGCCTGGACTGGAGGGTCTAACCTGGTGTATTGCAAGTTAGTGGTGATTGTGTTATATCGCTCGTTCTCCTTATGCAAGTATACCACCCCGGCCATATAGGTATCGACCCACTTCATCCCTGTCAAAGTAATGTCATGCGTGCGCACTTGTGTACACCAGATAATGTGTTTCAATCGTCCTTTGCAAAACTGCAACAAGACCCCATGCGCGATCACATGTCGACATCATATCAAACACACGTGTTCTGCACGCCTTCCAACATATAGTCTTAAAATCACAATGTGTTGCGCACCAACAATGTTGCACACGGCGGCGGCATTGGTTAAGGAATGTGCCTGCCTGGAGGATTCCGTATCGGATGAGGCGGCGCTTCCATTGGAGTTTCACTGCCTTCCAGACCCTGGATTCCTTATCTAAGGGTTCCTTATCGAATGCCCCCACCGTATTGTATGGCATTCTCGCCCAGAGCCCGCATTCTCATCGCACCACGTGGTGTGCCCGTGCTAATCTAGCAGGCCCCCAGCAAGCGAACGCGTTTCAATTAAACACAATGCGAACCACGTGCGCTCGCAGGCCCATCTACCGGGTCAAGGCACTACACCCCCACCTCGCCACTCACGTGACCCCGTGGCCATCATCTTGCCTAAGTTTCAGGACGGGCTTTCAGACATCATGTCTGCGGTCCGAGGCCACCAGCATCACACATAGTAAATCACGCCATAGCCACTCACACGTGTGAGCTCCGCCAGTGCCGATCTTTAAGAGCACGAGCGAGCTCACCAGCGCAGTGGATGAGATCGCGCCCCCATGCGCTCGCCCGCCAGGTCAGACAGCGACGGCGTCTCCCTGCCGAGTCTCGGATGTGTCTGCGGTTGGACGGTCGTTGTCCTTCTTTCGTTTTGCTGGTTCTTCTCCGCCAGAGCTGTTCGATCGCCAGTACAGTCCCGGCGGAGTGGGGAGGTCGCCGCTGTTTGGCCCCGCGTCGACGCATATCTTCTCACAGTATGATGAGTAGAAGCCCCGCCATCTACATCTGATTTCCGCCATGCTGTCTCTCGTGCAGCTTCCAGCCTTCGCAATTATAGTTATTCCTCCTCCTCCTCCTCCTCCTCCTCCTCCTCCTCCTCCTCCTCCTCCTCCTCCTCCTCCTCCTCATAGCATTCACGACCCTCCATCTTGATGTTTGTTCCATCCCCCATCCCCCACCACATCCTGAACGTTTTCCATCCCCCCCTTCGCCCATATCTTCCACCATCCTCGATCCTCCGCCACCACCCACTTCCATCATTTCCGGCCTCCACCATCCCCGCCCATCCCCATCCTCCACCATCAACCCCAGTCCTCCTCCATCCTAATCCGCCATTCCCCCCCCCTCAGGGCTCCACAAGCCTCATCCCCCATTCCCTCTCCGCCCTCCCCGTCCACCCTCGCCACCGCCACCCTGCCCCATCCTCCCCAACCCTCTTCCCCATCCGCCCCTTTTTCCTCCTCCTCCTCCTCCTCCTCCTCCTCCTCCTCCTCCTCCTCCTCCTCCTCCTCCTCCTCCTCCCCACTCCTGTTCACCCGCCCCCATCCCCCAGTCCTCCTCCCCCCCTCCCCCCCCCACCCCCCCAACCTGGCCGCGTGCTCGCGCTCTCCGCCGCCCAGGGGCGTGCCGCGCCCCGCCCCCCGGCGAGCATGCGGCCGCGGCCCCGGCCAGGAGTGCCTGACGGAGGACGGCCAGCCGCACAGGCCCCGTCGGGAGGGGCGCCCGCCAGGGGCGAGGGAGGGAGCACGGGGGAGGGGCAGCAGGGGGAAGGAGGAGAAGGGAGGAAAGGGCGGGACGGAGGGAGGGAGGGAGGGAGGGAGGGAGGGAGGGAGAGAGGGAGGGAGCAGGAGGAGGAGGAGGAGGAGGAGGAGGAGGAGGAGGAGGGAGGAAGGGAGACGAGGGTTGTTTGGGACCATGTGATAGCGCACGCTTTTCTGCCGGATGGGCTGGGCACGCCTCTTGGGAGCGTTCCTGGGACGGCCCTTGGACCCCACGTCCTGGGCGCCCTGGGGCCCGAGCCCGACCAGGCTTCGGAGGGGCCCGCGAGCAGGACGTCCGCCCCCGCTGCTCCTCCAGAGGAGCGGCCTCCTGGCAACGCTGGTCGGCTCCCGGTAGACCCGGGGGGCCTGACCTCGAGCACCGCTCTTGCGTGCAGGCCCTCCCGAGCGCGGGGGGCCTCCGGGATCGCGTTGGGAGGTCTCTCGCGGCGGGGATGGAAGCTTGTGGCGGGCCGAGCGAGGTTCGCCGAACTTTTGCTCGTCCGTGCAAGGGAATCCCACTTCACCCACGCACCCAAAGATGGTGTAAGACAGTTCGGCCCAAGAGGCCTCCAAGAGGGACCCCAGGAAGGCCAGAAAAGGCAAACAAACGCTGAGTTCCCGTAGGTTTTCGAAGGATTTTGACATTTGCTTCGTTTCGGCCTTCCGACGGCCCGATACGGCCCAAGAGAGCCCGTCGCAACGGCTGGATGTGCCCTGACATCCTGGCCAGGATACGCCCCGGGAGAGGTCTGCGGAGCAGCGGTATCGGTATCTGCATCTTTGTCCCCTTCCCCCCGGAATGAACTCGGTGGTTCAAAATCGGGAAGCCTTGAGACGGGGGTCAATGCAAACGGGGGTCAGCCAGGGCACCAGATCCTGCAGGATCCTGCGAAGACCCCCTCTGGCTGACCCGGGTTAGCGAGCCGCTCGTGGCCGCGAGGCGGCCGCGCATATGGGTTGACCCGGGTTTGCGAAGATCGGCGTTGCCCTTTTTTTCTTGCATTGCAGTTGTTGGTTTCCTGCTGACCCGGGTCTGGACTGACCCGGGTCAGAAGATCCCCGACAAAAGCGGGGCCCTGAGGGAGGGGGCCCCAAGGATACAGTGGAGACCCATGCCAAGAAACACCTTGCTTGCCTCCAGGGTGCACCGGGGTTTTCGGGTTTCGCTGGTATTGCGATGGCAAGCGTGGAGTTCCCACACCCAACAATCGATGGATATCCTGGGGTCTCAGGGCTGGGTTTCTTGTGGAAGGTTCCTTGTGGTCGAGCCCCTGCTGTAGGACGTGGAGCACAAATTGAAGCTTGACTGCCCGAGGCTCGCGTCCTCGGGGGCCCCCCAGTCCTCGGCGCCCCCCCTCGGAGCCGCCTTGAGAGGGAGGCACGAGCGTGGATCTGGGGTCGAAGGGGAGAAACGGCCAAGCAAGCATACGTAAATTCGTTTCCAACCTTACGTCGGGCATGTCGTTTTACAGAGGGGGATGATTCAAAACAGATCAAACAGTAGTCTGAGACGTTTCATCGATTTTTGAGAACCGTTTGTGGATATGTTTGACTATTTCTTGTTCGTCTACCAAAATCCGTCTGTAGGGGGACATGCCCGACCTAACTCCAGCCCCCTGGCAGCGTTTCTGGTGCCGTCCCTTAGCGCGCTCCGCACGCCAGGGAGGGGACAGTCCAGTTTCGATCCGTGTATTTGTTTCCTCCATGAGAAGGAGGGAGAAAGGGAGGAGGCGAAGCCGACGAGGAGATGGAAATGGAGGAGGAGGAGGAGGAGGAGGAGGAGGAGGAGGAGGAGATGGAGGAATGCGGCCAGCTGCGCAGGTTCGTCAAGATGAACCCGAAGGCCATCACCGATTCGCAGATGTACGGCTACAAGGACCTGCGCGTCCGCGCGCTCTTCCTCCACCGTTCTCCCGTCCTGCTCCTCCACTTCCACCCTGCTCCTCCTCGACCTCATCCCCTCCCCCCCCCCCCGCCCCCTCCTCACTCGTCCCCTCCCATCCTTCCCCTCCTCGTCCTCCTTCGCCTGCGCACTTGAGAGCGACGGAAGAAAACGGGGACGGCTGCGCAGACGTTCGCGTGTCAGGTGCCCGCGCAAGATGGCGCGCGAGCGCCCTGTTCTCCGTGCCGGGTGCAGCGCTGGTGGCCCGCGTAATCTGCGGCGGAAGTTCGCAGTGTTTTGTCGAGTAAGATTTGCTTGCGTTCGTCGCTCAAGTACACTGGTTACTCTTTTCCTCTTCCTACTTCTCCTCCTCGCTCATCATCGCATTTTCTCATATTTCACCATGCGTTACACGTAAGCCACCCACCTCAACATGAGTACTGCTTTCCTTCGCCCCCCCCCGAAGACGTGCTGGGAGTAGCGCCCACCTCGGCGTATTGCTGTTTACCCAGGGCGGACCCAAGTTGGTTTCTCTCATGTGCTATCCCAGTCCGAACATTATCGGCCTTTCCAGCACGTGTCCCCGCTGTAGCGTGGGTATCATGTTAGGATCGGAGCGTTGCTCCCTTCATTCAGAATTGCGCTCTCGCCCCAGCGCGGGTCACATCTTTGGATTTGAGCCATTCCTCATTGTTCTCCCCCCCTCCTTTCCACTCATCCGCCTAACCTTCACCTCCTGCTCATCCCGCTCCTTCTACTCCAGCTCTTGCTGCTGCGGTTCGTCGTCGCCCTCCTCCTTCCTCATCCTGCTCCTTTACCACCTGCCAGTGCTCCTGCACCTCCTCCTCTGTACGCAGGTCCCTCTCTCCGACTGCCTATAACACGATGAGGTCTTTTTGTCGAGTTCCAGGCCCGCTATGACGCGCGTCCGCGGACAGCGCAACGGGAAAGGATGAGTGGGAGGGGTAGGACGTCAGACATGGCGCGACGCGAAAGCACCTTGCTTGTTATCCTCTCCCCTCTCCCGCTCCCCTTCCTGACTCTCCTCACGCCTCTCGCGCTTCTTCTGCGCCCATGTTTTTGCGACATCCTCCGTCTCGTCCCGTTCCTTGCCTCCTTCTGTGGCAGTTGTTCGGATCATGCCGTTTCGGTTGATTGTTTAGACAGCTCCTACCATGATATGCCCCTGTATCGCACTCGATGCAGTCCAGGATGCGTGACACCTGGCGGGCACCCCGACCAGATGTCTCGTCTGTTAATGCGGCGCTGTGGAAGCGTGAAAGGGAAGTGCCATGGAGGGCAGCGCCTTGAGCTTCCGCAGAGCATGGCAATCGCGTGCGATAGCAAGCCCAGCCGGCTATATCGCCACGAACAACGCACTCTGGAAAGAAAGGCAGTGGCAACACGCACTGTTGCGTCTCATAGATGTGGCTGAGACCATTGCGGATGTCAACGGTTGATTCGTCCTCAACGCTGGGATCAGCGCGTCTGGGAAAGGCGAACATTGGCAGAGAGCCTTGTCGTTGCTCAGCGAGATGTGCGAGACGAGCATGGAGCCCAACGTCATTTCTCTAACCGCAATGCTGGGGTCGGCGCGTGCGAAAAGTGTTCTCGGTGGTAAGGCCCCCCTCGCCTGTGCCCGGTGTCCTCGTCTGCCCGGAACGCCCCCAGACGGCTCCCAAAGTGGCCCAAGGAGGGAGCCTGGTTCTCGCTCCTGTCGTTCTTTCTCTCCTCCTCCTCCTCCTCCTCCTCCTCCTCCTCCTCGTCCTCTGGTTCTCCGTGCGATGCATCTTATCCGACAAGCAGTGCACGTGTATCCTTGTTCCCAGATCCCCGATGTCGTGATTTTTGTCACAAAGTCGACCCTCACAGGTCTGGACCCCGTCCCCGGGACGGGATTTTCATCCTGAGTAGTTTTTTGACGGTCCTGCCCGGTCAAGGGCCCAGGGAGGCCGAAAATAGCGAAACATTTCCCGTCATGTTTCAATTTCAAAACGCGAGGGTGTTTGGGGTGCATCTCTGTTTGCGACCTCCTGTCTCACAATGTCTCACCTGCCCGCATTTCCGCCCCCCTCCTGCTTGCTTCACACAGCAGCTCTTGCGCAACATTCGTGCAGGCTTCTCGCCCAGATGTGTGCTCTCCTCGACTCTTCTATTGGCCTCTCTCGGACGTTTGCATTGTTTCTCGGCGAGGACCATCGAGGAGCATCCTGGACCATCGTGGGGAACAAACAATTCGCGCGAAGCCGAACAAATACACCGGGAATGGACGTCCGAGCGATGTCAAGGTTTCACAGCGTCTCAGTTGTTCGCATTCCCGCCCCCCTCACGCCTGCTTCACGCAGCAGCTCTTGCGCGACACACGCGTGGAGGCTTCCCGCTGGGAGGGCCGCTCTCCTCGTCCCCTGACCTTCCAGAGTGCCGGAAAGTAGCCCTCCAGGCCTATCAACCTATCTGGACTGTCTACCATCGCGACAGGAACTTGGACGTCAAGATCCTGGTGCTATTTTGGTCGGAGTCTTCTGCCCCCACAGAGAAATGATAGAGCGATTGAGATAGCTTCTTCGCTCCCGTGCGATAGCCTGTGAGATATATACATATATATATATGTACATGTGAATATGCATGAACACACATATACACATATATATATATATATATATATATATATATATATATGTATATATGTATGCATGTATGCATGTGCGTATGCGTGTGTACATGTATGTATGTATGCATGCATGCATGCATGCTTGCATGCATGTATGTATGTTTGTATGCATGCATGCATGCATGCATGCATGTGTGTATGTATGCATGCATGCATGTATGTATGTATGTATGTATGTATGTATGTACGTATATATGTATGTATGTTTGTATTTATGTATGTATGAATGTCTGTATGTATATATATATATATATATATATTATATATATATATATATCGATGTATATGTGCATGTATGCAGACATGTATGCATGCATGTATGCACTGTTGTTTGTATGCATGCATGCATGCATGCATGTATGCATGTATGTATGTATGTATGTATGTATTTACATGTGCATATATATATGTACACAAACATATATATAGTTTCTTCGCTCCCGGGCGATAGCGGGTGTTACCAGGTGGTGGCGGGCGGGAGAGGGAGGGGTCCCAGACCCTGACTTCCCAGGAGGGCCAACAAATACAGCACCAGGACGTCGACGTCCAGATTCCAGTCGAGGTTGCAGAAGCAGTCCAGGTATGTCTCCTGGTCTGGAGGGCGACTGCTTTTTTTATAGCGCTCTGGCAGGTCAGGGTCTTCTGCCCCCCCCCCCCAAAGAAGAGATAATTGTTTTTCAGTCCATGGCGATAGCGCGGGTGTTACAGGGGGGTATGGGGTGGCGGGGGTGGGCCAAAGCAGAGATGCTGTTTTCACTCCATGGCGATAGCGCGGGTGTCACAGGGGGCTCTGGGTGGGGGGCGCCAAAGAAGATATTTTTCTTATCCCATGGCGATAACGCGGGTGTTACCTTGGGGGGAGGGCGCGGGGGAGGTCCCAAAAAAGAGATTTGTTTTGTTTCATGGCGATAACGCGGGTGTTGCCGGGGGGGCGGGGGCGGGAAGGGGGAAGGCATTCAGACCGCTTCGCGCCGTGAGGAAATCACGTCGGGAGGCTTGTCGCTATATCGTCGGCGGTCCTCCTTGGGGGCCCCTTTGCCGGGCCCCAGGGGCCGTCGTCAAGACGACTCAGGAAGGGGTCCAGACCTCTGGGGATCCGCGTTGCCAGCAAAACAATGGCGTCGGGAGTCTGGGGAGGGAGGGGGAGGGGGAGGCGTCTGGAGGAAATCATCATTATCATCATCATCACCATCATCATCATCATCATCATCATCATCATCATCATCATCATCATCATCATCATCATCATCATCATCATCATCATCTTCATCGTCATCGTCATCGTCATCATCATCATCATCATCATCATCATCAGCATCATCATGGGTAGCGGGGAGCTGGTAACGTAACCAGATGTTGGTTAGGATCATCCACCTGAGGATGCTAAAGTTCGGCGTCCAGGTGGGATACTGAGTTTATTTAATCGCTTCGCTCATTCCGCCGGCCCGTATTGGTGCACGGCTGTCGAGTGCCTGTGTGATTGTTGTCAATGGGGTGTTGCTGGGTAGTTTTTTGTTTATGAATGGCTGGCTTTGGATGATTTCGCAGGCGGGAACCATTCTTTGCCCGCCTGAACCTTCTGTTTCGGAAGGTGGCGGCTCGTGAATACGATCGCAGGGAACAAGACAACATTCTGCAGTTTCCTTTTTGCATTCTTCGGGCCCCTTGTCGCTTGTTGGGGCCTCTTAGGTCTTAGGAGCCTCTTGGGGCGTCCAGGAGGCCTCTTGGAGCGGAAGGCTCGGATTCTCGGTTTGTGGTCTCCATCTTGGGCCTCTCTTGGGGCCCTCTTGGGGTCCTTTTGGACGTCTTGGGCGCCTCTTGGGCTGTCGTGGGGCTCTCTTGGACGCTCGTGGGCCTCTCTTGGAGGCCCCTTGGGCCGTCTTGGGGTGGTCTTGAAAGCTTCTTGGGCCGTCTTGGAGCGTCTGAAAGGCGAAAAGGCGAGGAAGCCAAACACCTTGAAAAACCAAATGGAAATCAATGGTTTTGGCGCTCTGAGGCTTCGTGGACGTTCATTGGGATCTCGTTGGATGCCTCTCGAGGGCTTCTTGGAGACTCTCGGGAGTCGTTGTCGAGCCTCTTGGGGTCTCTTTCGGGCCCCTTGTCGCCTTTGGGGGCCTCTTGGGGGCCTCTTGGAGCCTCCAGGAGGCCTCTTGGAGCGGAAGGCTCGGATTCTCGGTTCGTGGTCTCCATGTTGGGCCCCTCTTGGGGCCCTCTTGGGCCCCTCTTGGGGTCCTTTTGGACCGTCGTGGGCGCATCTTGGGCTGTCGTGGGGCCCTGTTGGG